CCTGTTTTCTTGTTTTGGTTTCAGGCGAACAGCAACGAATGCTTCTTCCCTTCCTAATCCATCTATCAATTTTGTATTCTCCTGTCGCTGTCCGCCAGCGATTGTTTGGGCGCGCTTTCCCTATTCCTAACTGCAGTGTCGTAGGTGCTCTCTCAGCGAGTCAGCGGAGGTAAGTGTCGCCACGTATTGTCATCGTTGCATGTAAATCTACGGCTGGTAAGTTAGTAAGTCCCTTATTTCTTTGCTTAAGGTTGAAATTTTACATTGTCCCTCTATTTATAGTTCTAAAAGAACTCCTAAGCAGTATAAACTTATCCTTAAAAAATTAATGAAAGAGTCCTTTATAGATTTAGACTGCTTTCTTTACAAGCAAACTATTTATTTTCTAACAAATCCTGATCTATTCGCCGTGTGTTAGCAGCTGCAAAAAAAATCTTCCTTAAATAAGCGGGAATGCTCAGCCACGGGTGTCGGTCCTGTCCGGGCGCGGCTCCCAGTCCGCAGCGGGCCTGCCTCTCAAAAAAATCCTCATTCCGCTCATCCAACCGTCGTGACGTGGCTACTCATCCGTCCACCCCGTAGCAGCCCTTCTCCAACCGCGTCGTTGAAAGGTCGAGATGGCGGACTAGAGGGGGGATGAATAGTCTTTTCTAAAATTAATCGCGTCGGCTAACCGATATAAATGCGGAATTAAAACAATCGGTCTAGCCAAGACTACACCCCTCTATATATGCTCACTAGCACCTTGCCAAGATACTAATTATGCAACTAAGGTGCCGGGCTAGCTAGAGCTCTCCTAAACAATTCTAGGAGTAAGGTCACACAAACCTATGCCACTAGTACTTTAAGCAACAAGGGAGCTCCTACACACGCTAGTAAGCAAAAGCACAAAGCCAATTAAGCTCACTAGCAAAGCTCAATAACAAGGCAACCAATGCATAATTAGAGAGCACAAATACTTAGCTACACAAACTAAGCAATGTGACTAACAAGGTTACTAAAACCAAATTAGCCACGCAAGGGAGCTACTTCTATGCTACACAAGCAAGAAGGTAACTAGTAAGCTACACAAGCTAACTAATTACAAGAGCAACTACACAAGCTTAAGATATATAAAAGTAATTGCAAGCTTGTGTAATGGGGATGCAAACCAATGGGAAGAACAAGATTGACACGATGATTTTTCTTCCGAGGTTCACGTGTTTGCCAACACGCTAGTCCCCGTTGTGTCGACCGCTCACTTGGTGGTTCGGCGGCTAATTAGCATCACCCGCTAAGCCCGCACGTCGGGCACCGCAAGAACCTACCCCTTGAGTGAGGGTAGCTCAATGACACGCTTTACTAAAGTTGCTCTTCGCGACTCCCGCGGGGCGAGCACAAGTACCCCTCACAAGCACTTCTCCGGAGCGCCGCACAAGCTTCTTGCGGGCTTCGACGAAGACCACCACCAAGCCGTCTAGGAGGTGGCAACCTCCAAGAGTAACAAGCACCACCGGCTCGTAACTCGATCACCTAGTGCCACTCGATGCAACCTCACGATGCAATCGCACTAGAATCGCTCACTCACACAATCAGATGATCGCTATCAAGTATGTGTGTGATGGAGGGCTCCCAAGCACTCACAAGCATGGACACTAAGTCCCTTGAGATGCTCAGCGCCAGCCATGGCCGAGGGCCACTTCTATTTATAGCCCCAAGGGCTAAACTAGCCGTTACCCCTTCACTAGGCAACGGTCGGGCCGACCGGACGCTCCGGTCGTGTTGACCGGACGCTGGACCTCAGCGTCCGGTCGCCCGCAGACGGCCACGAGCCCCGGTTCCAACGGTCACTTGACTTGACCGGACACAGCAGCTTTCAACTGACCGGACGCTAAACCCCCAGCGTCCGGTCGTTTCCAGTAAGGTACCGACCTCGACCGGACGCGTCCGGTCACACTTGATCGGACGCAGCCAGCGTCCGGTCACACTCCAGCTTCTGCGTCATCGTACGTCAGCCTGACCGGACGTAGCCTGCCAGCGTCCGGTGCATTCAGATCCAGCGTCCGGTCAGTTGACCGACGCCAGCATCTTCGCGACTAACTATTTTTCACTTCTAACTTCATCACCCTTGCTCCAATGTGCTAACCACAAGAACTTGCATCCGGCGTAATAGAAAATAGGCATTCTATTTTCCCGAAAGCGCCGAATCCCGCCTCGCAAGCTCGGCGGGAGGGAGAGAGGGACCCAAACCCAACTCACCCCTGCAAACACCACCTCCTTTGTAAATGTGCCAACACCACCAAGTGTACACCACCATGTGTATGTGTGTTAGCATTTTCACAATCATTTCCCAAAGGATGTTAGCCACTCAACTTGCCACGCCACTCGATCCTAGCGACAATGCAAAGTTAGATCACTCGAGTGGCACTAGATGACCGATATGCAAACAAGTTTGCCCCTCTTGATAGTACGACCATCTATCCTAAACCCGGTCATAAACTTCTCTACACACCTATGACCGGTGAAATGAAATGCCCTAGGTTATACCTTTGCCTTGCGCATTCCATTCCATCTCCTTCAATGTCGATGCAACACATGCACCAACACGATCAACAATGATATGATCCACTTCATATCATCACATGATCATATTGGTTCATCGATCTTGACTCTACTTGCTCTTCACCGTTGCTATCGTCCATCGGCGCCAAGTCTTGCTCAAGCTTCACCGCCACGCGGTCCATCACTCCAAAGCCTTTGACTTGCCCTTCACACTTGCAACCGGTCCATCAAGCCAAGTCTTGTCTTGATCTTCTCCACCTTGATCACATGACTCAATGTCATGTCTCATGTGCATTTAAGCTCCTTCATCATCACATGTGTGAGCTTTGCAACATCTCCAAGCCATTTTCACCTTCATGGCATATGTTGCTCATACACATGTACCTGTGGACTAATCACCTGTGTATCTCACATAAACACAATCAGTCCACCTAGGTTGTCACTCAATTACCAAAACCAACAAGGACCTTTCAGTCGTGCCCTTTCACCAACCGCGCGGGCACCCCATGGTCAGCCGCACCGCGCCCATCCCTCGTGAGCGGACGGCGCTGGACGACTGCGGCCGAGTGAGCAGCGGCGCTGGAGTAGCATCAACAGGGCCGCCGCCCATGGCCGCGAGCCTGGGCCACGAGCAGGCGTTGGAGAACCGCAGGAGGGCCGCGCCGCTGTTGTACCGGCAAGCTCCATGCGACCGCCGATCTCCGCGGCGACGTCAAGCTCCGCAACGACGAGCGTCCATTCGTCCAAGCAGTAAGGTAAAATTGTGCTGAAAGCGCATATTGAAAGCGTATGTTCCAAGTGTTTCAGATGTGTCACCTGGATGTTGCAAGTGTTTCATCTGAAAGATGCAAAATTAGATCAGGATGTTGCATATGTTGCAAGTGTTTCAGAGGTATATTGCAAACGTCTTTTTCCAATGTTTCATGATGTTACATATGTTTCACACATATGTTACAAGTGTTTTATTTGTATGTTGTGTATGTTTTACAATGGTTTTCAAGTGTTTTTGTAAGTGTTGTTTTACAATGATTTTCAAGTGTTTTTGTAAGTGTTCCAAACGCATTTTCTAGTGTTTCATCTGTCTTTTTTTTATGTTGTAAGTGTTGCATCTAGATGTTTCAAAGATAGATCTGGATGTTGCATATGTGTGCACGACATCGGGGGCACGTTAGGTGAATGGGGCGCGGCAGAGACGGGCACGGAGGTGAACGGGGAGCAGCAGGGGACGGCGGCACAGTGAGAGATAGACGCGCTCGCTCGAATCGTTTTTCTGTTGCAGACCGGTTTCATCGGATGGGTGGAATCAGGCTGGGAGCTGCGTCCGGACACATCTTGGCACTGAACGTTCGGGCGCTAGCTGTTCCGACAGGAGGTTAGATAAATCTTTATGCCTTGACTATCACAAATCAATTATGGTTTTAGATAATTTCGTAAATACAGTCTAGTACCATTCTAATATATAGTGTTTTTTCCAATACCAAAATCCGACACGAAATAGACATATTCACAGCATTACAAGCAAAATATAGGCATGCCAATATCTCGTCCTACTTCACCGTTATTTGGATTTTAACCAATGTGACAAGTAGCACGTTTAATCAGCACAAGACAATCCTTCCAACTTTGTTTTGCATATCAAAACACACACAAATAGCATGTCAAAGCGGGAAGGTAAAATGGAATAAAATGGTTTCGAAACAATGCCCAACGCCAGGCATGTCTTATGGATCATGTCTTTTTTATCTCAAGATCAGCTCTAGGGCCTTATATTACTTATCGATAGCTCAGCACAATCGCGAGCAACCACAATTTTGACAATGTCAGGAGGATCATCAGGCCACAACATCGATTGACCTGTGTCCCACACCAAGCCTAGCTTTGCAATCTCGTGCGCAGACGAGTTACAAGATCGTGGAATACAAGTAATTTTGTGATTGCTAAAACGATCATCTAAGAACTCACGAATATACTTGAAAAGCATCCCGCTCGGTTCTAAATCACGTCCATTACTGTACCCATGCATTTGAGGGATGTCAATATAAATGAGATTTCTGATGTAATTGATTGCAAGAGTAACAGATATTTTATAATGCTAACATTACAGCCGGAAAAAACTAAAAGCGAGGCATTGGGCCTGTTCGCTGGTTCGTGCTGGTGCTGGTTTGGGCTGGCTGGTGCTGGTTTTTTTGAGAGAAAAACACTGTTGGCTGGCTGGTTTGGGCTGGCTGAAACCAACAAGCGAACAGGCTGATTTTAACTAATTCAGTTATCGATATTGCGGCAATTCTAGCTAACCATACAGTACACCACCACCACCCTGAAACATAAATAACTCAATGACCTAGTAAGCGACCGATAAAATGGATAGAAATAAAGGCTATAAAAATTCTGGTATGTTATGCTAATATATCAACACTACCCCAAAACATTGAATTTGTGTTCTGCATTTTCTGCTAATATCAAATTTTCCTGCGGTTATCAACCCTTGGTTTCTTGGATGCTGCTGAAGTACTGGAATTATCACCACCAGATTGTATCTGGCATTTTTTAAAGAACAAACTTTCAGCTTATCGGTATAGTTGTAAGCCAAAAAGATAGTGCAGACGATACTACTTACCTTATCAAGCTTCTCTCTGACTAGCTTTACAGTAGCGTTCATCGACTTGGATGGAAAATAATCCTACAAACAAAGTGAACATTTATCCATATATTGGGAAAGTAGCATTCAACTTAAGGAAAGGAAACCAGGACCAACAAGAAAAGAAGAGTGCAAAGCTACTAGAGTGGTAAGCTACATTAAACAGATTTGCATTACATATTAGCACGGCAGGATCTCCACAAAAGTTAGATGTTTTGGCCCCTACCAGGTACTTTGCTTTAGTGATGTAATGCAAAGATGTTTGTGTTCTAGTACTAAATATCTTAGTTGACTCGTTGGCATTAATTAGTAACCTTAAATTTATTGGCAAATGATTTTTTAGATTGAACATATTTTTACCACATACCTTATCTGAGGGCACATGACTGAAACGAGGATCTTCAATATGAGAAGCATGAATTGTCTTCATATATTCCCTGAATATGTGTAGAACCTTAGGATAAAAATCAGGCTGACACTTTTACACTTTGCTCAAGAGAACAGTTAGACTGAAGAGTTTTTGCCTAGCCGTCATAGTTTCACAACATCCACAATGTAACTGGTCACATTATACTGAAATCAGCAAGCCAGTGTCAGGAATACAAACCTCTTATTAGAGTTCATCTGGTGGTGATTCCCACTAGATGATCCCTGAGCTGGAGAATACTGAGATGTCCCTTCAGGTCTGCCAGCAGATGCTGGAAATGGAAGAAAATATCTCAATCAAAGTTACCAGTGTAAATAAATTAGCAATGCTCACAGTAGTTATGCGTTGCTGTCAAAATACTAAATACAAAGCTGTAGAGACCAAAAAGTAAAGTGGAGGCACACATTTTATTCGGCCAAGCACTTCTTTTCTCCTAGCTTCCAGTTTCTCCTTAGTGTCTAGAGGACTCTCAAATTGAGGGGCGTCGGTCACCTGCAGGCAGTTGCCAAGAGATACAGACTCGTCAAGCTTCCTCTTTGCAAACCTGCAGCATGAGCACCAATTTTGCATTTCAAATGGAGGCCGCTGATTCTGGACTTTTACCACGAGAAAAGATGTCAATAGTTGGCAGCGGATAAGCTCGAACTTCAATGCTAGCAACTGGACCGCAAGATGTGAATTAAATCAAAAAATTTAGTGGATCAAATTGTATGATGGTCGGCTGAATTAATGGATTTTATGACCCAATTGACTTTTGTGGTTCAATAAAACACTAAGTAATTATTATGTTCTCTTGATTGAAGCCTGGTGAACAATAAGCATAAACTGAACATTGTCCCAAGTTGAATTGAAGAAAGATGAAGCTTACTTAGGGTTACAGCAGTTGGGGTTGGTAGGCCATAGAAAACACGGGGCGGTTTCATTGCCTTGTGATGTTATTACAGTCCAAGAACACCTGAACTAGACTGCTAGATCAGCACACCGTCCACACCTCACCTGGCGTTGTTGACCTGGGAGAATTTGACGAAGAAGACGTCGGTGTAGGGCTCACAGTCCTCTGCATCCATGGGCGTGCACCTGACACCCAAGGGTGGGTAATCAATCAACTAATAAGCAATTAGAATACAGGGTACAGGAGGAGCGAGAGGAGAAGAGGTGAGACTGACTCCTCCACGGGGCCGTACGTCCCGAAGAGACTGGCGAGGTCGTCGCCGCATCCGAGCGACGGCACGTTGCGCACGATCAGGTACCTGCAGGCAGGAGGAGCAACCGGCACCAACCATGAGCAAGGGGCAAGGGCAAACCAGGTCTGGAGAGGCAGGATTCTGATACCTGGACTCGTCGCAGACGGTGTAGACGCGCACGGCGGCCGGCTCGTCGCGGTCGCGAGGCATCTCGACCGGCGGCGCGCAGAGGGGGCGGGGGCGGGGCGGCGGTGCCGCTGGGCCTGGGCCTTAGCGGAAGAAGGCGGAGCCGCCGAGCCGGAGACACACCACCGCTTGATGTTTCTGCAAACTTTGTAACGTTTTTTTTTTTTTTTTTTTGAAATGAAGCTAAACTTTCAGAAAAGGCATATAGCGACTAACGCCCTGTTCGCTTGGCTGCCAAGCGAACAGGGCATAAGAAGACGAAGAACTAATCTGATCGGTAATTTAAACGCAAGGCCAGCAACTCCCATGATTTCGACCAAAATTTCAATCTACTTCTACAATTCCGAGGATTTCATTTCACATCACGGACCAGGGGTAACGAAGCATTCAGGTATTACCATTTTTTCCCTCCGCCATACATCAGAGATGCCATCAAGCAGTTGGGGAATAAAATACATGCCAGCTGATGGCAGTGAACATGTCAATAGGAAAAAAAAAACATTGCAAAATGTCATCTGTTACTCAGGTTTCAGCGATGTTGCTTCTGCAGCATTAGGCAGAAGCAGCAGCACAATTACAGGTCTGCACGGGTGATAAAACTTATTGTTTTCTCCTTTTCTCGAAACCATGTGGGCAGTATACCATTCACCATTCAGGCATTCACATAGAACCTGTCTTCCTTCACAAAAATCCGATACAATGGAACCTCAGAAGCACCTAGCTAGAGAGGCAGTCAGATGGGGACACTGTAATTCACAATCTTCGTGAGGGCGGCGTTAAGCGCTCGCTTCTCCTTCTTAACCTGAGAAGCTAGGCCAGATATCTGCAACACATGAAAGAAAATCTCAGCTATGAGTTTGGAACACAGAAGCCAGCCAGCTTCAAAAAAAAAAAACAATACATTCAGAGGCCAGAGGATAGGCATGATTTGTTGTGGAGAGGCTTAAAACCGTGATCATCGTATGCAAATTTACAAAGTATGAATGCTGCCTGCGTTTAGCACAGTTTTACCTAATCACTCACTACATGGCATGTAATAACTAATAAGTGGTAAGGACTACTGAAATATATACTGCTATATTGACAAGTGTATTTCTGAAAAGGGGCCCAAAGGAAGTGTTTGATATTAAACACAACTTGGGCTGGAACAAATAGCAGCACATGTAGGTTAAGATAAGAAAGATATCACTAAGAGAACTAAATATAATTCTCTATATAACATCTTCTGAGCAATCCAACAACATTATACATCCCATATTCCCATATATAAAAAAAAGGTACACTGTTTAACAAATTCATTCTCAAGCACATAATATCCATGCCAGGAGCAACTAGTAAGACTACCAAGAAAAGGCTTCAATGTATCCATATAGTTTAGAATATTAGACTTAGGAGATAACCCTGTACATGGTCCGGTTGCAAACCGGCCCAACCCACAAACCAGCCCATGATAAACCGTGTAAGGAGCCACGCACGGGTTGGTTTGGTTCGATTTGGTACCCGTCTAACCGTCTTCTTCGTTCGACCAACCAGCCGCCGCCGGTCGCAAACGCACAATCGCTTGAGGCCTTGTCGGAGACCAAGGGCGGCGGGTGCCTGGAGCGCCATGGCCTCGGGTGGCGGGCTGCGGCAGCGCAGTGGCCTCAGGCATCGGGTGCCGGGAGCGCCGCGGCCTCAAGCAGTGCCGCCCCTCCAGGCGTCCTTTGGCAGCAGGGTCGTACTGTGCATGTGCATCTTCCCTTTTCCCTATGTACTGAGCTTTCTCCAAATCTCACAATCAAAATCTTGCAGTTTGAGCGTCGGCCTGAAGTAAGCGGCGAGGGCAGCATCGATGGCGTCCGGTTCCGGCAACGAGGCCGCCGGCGTGTCATGGCCATCTAGGAGCATCTTGGCTCGGCTCGTGCATCGGCGTCAACGGCTTCCTAGCACGGCTGCTTGGGGGCTGCAGCGTTGACGCACTTTGCTGAGATTAACCGTGATAACCGTGAACCCGCTGGTTCCAAACCGCCGACGTAACATCTTCTACGGGTTGGGCTGGGTTTTGCCCAGAAACCAGTTAAACCGGACCATGAACAGGGTTATTAGGAGACATGTGTTATGTTTAAAAATTATAATTGGCTAGAACAAAAGCCTCAGATCGATTCCTATAAACATCACCATGTCCAAAGATACATGCTGATTTACTAACCTCCGATCGAAATTCAGATGCATGTGCTCTGGGGAGCTGATCAAGAATGCCCTTCAGACCTGAGAAGATACATTTCATCAAATGCAAATTCTGGATAAAATGATCTCCATAACCAGAAATCAAATGTCATGACACAAAACACTAATATCTCGAGAAATCTTACACACCTACTGCTTGATTTTCAATATCACTAATCTCGCTCAACTCATGTTGAATGGAACGTCCTTCTTCCCTGATAAAGCAGAAAATATCGCCCATGTTATATAGAGTAAGGACAGAAACAAATGACAGAAGGGGCGAGAGAGATGCCTGAGTGTATTCCATCCTTTCTGAAATCTTTTCTCTGCAGTTGCTGCTCTATCCTGGATTCCAGTATGCATAGAATCAGTCATGAATAGCATCTGAAGTTAAAAGAGACAAAAAAAAGTAAAATGTTTCAATTATCTTCAAATGAAGAACAATTACCAACAGTTTTTGGCGTTCATTGGATACAAGATTCACAGTCTGCCGCATGTGATTCACTTCAGTTTGTACGCCAGAAAGTAGGGTCTATAGTATGACAACAAAAATTATGTTAGATAATTGATCGGATCCGTACATTTCTTAGGGAAAAAACAAACTTGCAAACATCATATTTGATTTTATTCTGACTTGCTACATGAACATCATCAATCATGTACAGGGAAACAACAGGTAAATGTATCCAAACACTGGCATGTAAATTATAAGCATGTAGTCATAGGTGAATAGATAGCCCCACCTAGGAAGAGAACTTCTAAGCAAGATAGTGAATTAACTTGAAAGAGTATGAATCAAGGAAGATGATTAATTAACTTTGAAGAGCATGAATCTATCAAGTCACAGGAAGTATATGTGCTGATCAAAAGGACATAGAGTGCTTACCTCCTTGCTAACAAACATGCGCCGTACTCGTTGAATAAGGTAGCTCCTTGGCCCTGCAAGGATCCATTCATATTTCATTTAGTATAGAAAGGTCCATTTTAAGCCTTCTTGAAATTATATTGGAACAAATGCCCAATGAATCAGCAAGGTTATTACCTTGGGGCTATGTACCATGAAATACTAGGCAACTAAGTAGAGGATGGATAGTTTGAACAAAACTTGCAACCGCTTTAATGAATCTCATCAATTCCCAGATCATTGAACTAATTTTTCAAAGTTTTTTTAAACCAACCAGAACAAGATATGTGCATGATATTCTAAGACGGAATACATTGGCTCGGCAGAGATCTCAAAACATTTCATTCATTTGCAAGAACACAGCAAAGGATCAATTCTAGAGTATCAAAAGTACATTCGAGTTAAAGAAAACAATTTGGTTTAGCATGTGGTAATAATGAGTTCAATGTTCTTCAAGTGCATTGTGTGGATAGAATCCCTCATGCAAATACTAAATTACATTGTGCATTAGCAAAAGGAATCAATGAAAGTTGTTGCAAGGAAAACATATATTACTTTTGAAAAGGACAATCCCTGCAAGTGTTGCGGAGCCTGCAGCAATGCCTGGATGCATTATAGCCATGACAACGCCCTCTGCAACGATTATAAACATTCAATGCTTGAGAAAAAATGAAATAAAAAAGCATAATTTAGCCAACAAAGATGAACATCATCTACGAGGACATCAAACTAAGGGGAATCCCGAACTATCTGATCTTTACGCAGCAAAACGCACCTTTGATCTTACCAAACACAATCTGCTCGTGAGCAGAGTACTCCTTCTTCACCCATTCCAGCTCCTCCTGCGAACAGGACAGCAAAAGGTTTGAGCTTTCATCAAATGTTGCCTAGATCGACCGAAGCGAGGGGAATGGGGGCCATCACCTTGGCGATGAGGGTGAGGTCGGAGGCGGCCGCGTAGGCGGAGGACGCGGCCGTGGAGGAAGCAGAAGCCGCCGCGGAGGCGGATGAGGTGGCCAAGGTGGTGGCGGAGGCTAGGGCAGCCTTGGCGGCATCGGCCTTCTCGGCGCCGAAGGTCTCGGCCCAGCGGGTGAAATCTGCGGCCGCGGCCGCCGCGGAGGCGGCAGAGGAGGCGACCATGGAGGAGATGGAACCGTTCTCCGGCTGCGGAGGAGGTGGCGGCGGCGGCGAGTCGCCGGAGCTGGTGGGCCCGTCGGCCATGGTGGTGGCGGTGGTGCGGGTCTGTGCGTCGGATGGATCCAATGGGCCGAATTCAACGTGGAATAAGGAGAATGGTTGGTGTAGTAGTATAAAAAAAATACGTTTCCTGACTATGTATACGTACTCCTAAATAGGGTCATGGCACGATATGAAAACGAAAATTTGGTGGTTATATATGGCCAAAGGCAGACCAGACCTGTTTTGTTGCCGAAATTAAATTGGCATTTTGTTACAAATCTCTTCAATGGCTTGTTTGGAACTGGAAGGTCCTTCATTTGGAGTACATGTACATAGCCAAATTTATTCAAAACTTGGTTTCTGAATCCATTTTATCACCTGATCCTAACACTACTCGTGAGAACATCACCTCATCATAGCATATCATAGCATATAACATTGTGCTACATTTGGATTACACAAAATGTACTACAGATAGAGAAATAGGTAGAAAACCAGGGCAGCATCAGTAATGCCATTTAGGCCTCAACTCCTCTTCTTCCTCCGTCAACTCTTGATACCTGTACCATTGCGACGCTGCTTTACCGACAGGCAATGGCGGGCGGACGAAGACCTCAACCGGTTTGGGTACATGTACCACCAGATGCAGCTCACCGCGATCGTATTCTTCCTCGACATTGTCATCAGGGCTGTTTGATGGCACGCCTGATGGCTCCACAGAAATCCACCCAAGCCCAGAGATCGCGATGTCACAAGCAGGCCTGAATATGGCATTGGTACAGATAAGGTCTTTAAGCCCAGTAATCAAGGAATCAGTTTCTTAAATTAGTACTATACAAAAATGCAATTGCTCCCATTTCACTTGTTATCCAGACAAGATATTCCCCCATCTTCCCAGTAGAAGAAGAAGGCTAGCTTCAATAAACTACCCATGCAGTTTTTTACCATAAATGAATGATGAGTAAAGCTATGGCATCACCATTACTTGCAAACATTACCTGTCACGTTCCTCATACTTCATCTTCAACTCACGAACACCTTGAAGCCCTGGCCATCCTTCAGCTCTATCCTTACCAGTTGGCGGAGTCAATGTAACTCCAACTTCAGTCTGGAAAGTGAAAAAAAAAACAAGACAGAAATAAAATGAAATCATCATTATTTCAGATGAGCCTCATTTAGATGCATGTAAGTTTCATGCAAACATAGAAGCCGATAGCAAATGAATACAGTTTTGAAGAGCATGGTTAAACGCGTAGAGTTTTGCAGGACACAATTCAGAGCTGTGATTAGAAAGAGGAGAAGAGGGAGAAGCAACTCTCGCTTCCTAAGCCAAATAAAATATAGCTGGTGGTATCAGACAATGAATTTTCATACCAATTAGCATAGGCATACCTCGTAAAATTGATCTGCTTCTGTTGTCGGGACCATATTAATCTTTAGCTTCTTGGGCCCATAGAATGTCAGCCGTGAGCGTGGAAGAGCCTATGTCATCCATTGATTGACAATTACAGCTTACAAGGGAGAATTAGAACATGATAAGAAAACAAGACATCAAAGATGAAGTTCAGCTCATTAGGTACCTTGACAACATCAATGCGGACTAGCCCAGCCCAGAACAATGAATTCCCACTCAATTCAACATCTGTATCATTAGCCTGAACATAACATCATGTTCTGAAGAAAAAGATTAGTGTGGAAATTTTGAGAAAGGAACATGTGCTCAACCGAATGAAATATACATACGGGAAAACATTGCCCTTTCAAACGACTTTGTGGTGCAAGAGAAGGCAGATCATCAGCATGGATAACTGCTGCCTGCCTATGGTGAAGGTGGACTCCAGGTGTATCATACAATTTCTGTGTGCAAAGATTCAGGGATATGTTAGTAGACTTCAAATTGGATCTCAAAGTAGAAGATACAGAACATCAGGATGTAATCAGAGACAACACATATTTTGGAGCAGTTCATATTGAGCACTGTGCATGCATACAAACTATTGTATTGCATCAAAGGATCATGATAAGACACACCTTTAGAAGTATAGACACATCTATGTTGGTTAGCGAAAGATTTTTTTATTTAAGAATTTTCAGCGAGCATAGATTAAATTACTGTCCGTGTAGCTATATCAACAAAGTGTCTGCAACAGGCTAGCAACTAAAGTTAACATATGCATATCCTTTCAGAAGATCAACTAGCCAAACAGAATCATACCCCTCCGCCTAAAAATGCTTCAATTTGAATAGGGCCAAGGGTTGTTCCAGGAACAGCAGACTGTATTGGCTTGTATTTTTGAGCTGCCGCTGCCACCGGATCCTTGTATGCCATTGTTCCTACAACAGAAGGATCTCCAACAATTAGCGTGGTAAGAAAAAGAACAAGCAGCATTGTTTAAACGGTAACCACTACATAAATGGATAGAAGACAAATATTAATAATAGGAAAGGCATACTTAGCATTGCGCTGATAAATGCAGATTTCCCAACATTTGCAGAGCCCTGTAACAGAGTATGATTTGTGTCAGATAAAGGTACACTGGCCAACAGGCAGAAACACAACTCACAATCTCCAAAGTTGTATTGCCTGAATTAATGAAGTTTGTTAAATTTCTACATACAGCAACAGCAATTGCATATACAATATAATGCACATATCTCTGAACAGCAATTGCACTCTTAATTTTTTTCCCCGACATTTAAAGAACACAATAATGGAAGTGATGAGTGCTTACCAGTACATATACATCTCGGCCCTAATACGATAAAAAGAAACATCAGTCAGGATCGTGAAATGTAGAACGAGCAGGGGAAGTGAAGATCTATAGAATTTGAGATGATATAATTCGAGCATGGGCAAGAAAGTGGACAGTCGAACTGCAATAACCACAAAAATAAACAGAGATGCTGACCTTCTTTTCCTGTTGAATCTCCGATATAACCCCTGTGATACCGACCAGTGACTTTGAGCTTGTCAAATGGACACTAAGGACGCTGCATATACCAAATTTAAATTGGTCAAATCATCTGATGAAAGTACTGTGAAATGAGGAATAGTAAGGAAATGCTTCCTACTTAAGCTTCTTCTTGACAACTGACTCAACAACCCAGTCACCTATGCAATTCAAATCAGTGTCTCTGGGAAGGAGATCAACCTAGGAAAGAAGTAGCTTCAGTTGTCAGATGATAGTGAAAAAAAAGGACAGTATAGAAAAACTGAATGTATAAAACAACCACCTTTGTTATCACAAGTATAATAGGATTAGCACCAGCAAAATCGCGTACTCGTGCCAGGAAACTCCCATTGAAGTCAACGATGTCAACCTTCATATAGAAGCTAGAATGAGTGGACAGAGAAAGGAGCAGAGGCAAGAGAATCAGCAATCTGGCAAGTTGTTTACCAATTTGACTATCAGTGCTTTCTCGTGACGGAGGTACGACAGCTTCTCCCTGAGTTGTTCTGCAGAAACAAACTGCTTGCCGCCAGGATAACCACCGTGGCCACCAACAGCAGTGACCATGTGGCCATGAGACAGGAGCTTGCACCTTCCACATAGAACGGTTCTCAGTTGGTGGTGCCTCTTTTTCTGCTCATCAGAGAAGAAATGAAATGCTATCATTCTCTGCTCCGAGGAAGACTATGAAGGGATGAATGAAGTAGCCGGTCGGAGAGTGGAGCGAAAAGGGAAGGGGAAGAAGCGTTGGTGATTACCAGTTCGTGAGTTTCGGGGTCGACGTATCCCGGCGCGGCCTCCTCCGCCGTCTGGAGCGGGGCGCCGCACCCGTAGCAGGGGAAGCAGGAGGGCTTCCGCGCCAGGGCCCGGCGCTTCTCCTTGCGTCGGCGGCGCCTGTCGGCGTCGTCGGGTGCGAGCACGCGCGCGGCGGCCTCGGTGGCCAGCTGGCGGCCGAGGAAGCGGTCCCCACGCGTGGGCGCGGCGGGGCCCGCGCCGTCAGGCGGGGCGGGCGGCGGAGCAGGAGCGGCGGCGAGCGAGGTCCGGTGGGCGTGGGGCTTGAGCGGTGGAGGTGGTGACGGTAGGGTTTTGGGGAAGGAGAGGAAGGGGAGGTGCGGTGACGCCATGGACGATGGACGGTTCGTGACCGTCGGCGGCGTGGCGGAGCAGGGCAGGGGGAGGTCTCGTCTCCTTGCCTTATCCGGCCAGCGCAACGGAACGGACGGAGGCGGTAATGAAATATCTTGGGGCGGCTTGGGCTTGGGCTTGGGCTTGTTATCCGACCAAATCCAATTGAAATGCCCTTTCAAAAAGAAATCCAATTGAAATGTGATGGATCAAATAGGCCCACAACATCTCGACTAAACCAAGGAATCTCCTTTTAAAAAAAATATTTATTATATTGTATTAGACTAGCATAAATGTCCATACGTTGCTAAGGAAAATAATAGTTGCTTTTATATATAAGAAAAAGTGACTAAAATAGAAAATACAAATCACTTTTATACATGAGAAAAGAGGACCAAAATAGATGTATGTCTCAAAGTAGATAATTATCACAAAGGTAAGGGAAGAGAGATAAAGAAATCTCCACATAGTTGATGGTCTGTTTCAAAGAAGACAATAGACATATGTACTGGTCACAATCATCTCAGCTTCTTTAGCCATACCACTATCACAAGAAGCTACAATGCTTGACGTGGACAGAGCTTGACATTTGTCGTTGCTCTCTAAAGCCATTGCACTAAGGTATTTCCTATCAGTGGTTGATAATGTGAACCATGATGAGAGTAATAAAAGGTAGAGCTAATGTGAATCTGATGCAAATATATTCATTGGCCATTTGAGTTTGTTTTATTTTGTTGGAAAGGTAAAGTTATTCCCCTTAAACCACATATATCGGCACGTCCAAGGTGGACCAAAAGCTCCAAACCTCCGATCCCACTCAACACTTAGGCCCCCTTTAGAATGCGGAAAATTCCTCATTTCTTGCCTTTTTCTATTAAATAAACTAATTTCTATGAGATTCATGTATATGAAACTCCTTTATTCTAAAGGAGTCTTTACATGTTTTGCAGTGATTACACAAAAGCA